AGGATCCCCTGTGTTTTGTAGCACAGCAGCACTTGCTGGGCACACACTGTGTGGATTTTTGAATATTCAGGACTCCAGCAAAGATGCATGACTGAGTAATATGCTAGCATGATATGGATGCCACAGAAGGGTGACAGGATTAGCTGGTATTTGACAAAGATAAATATGATTCTGCATAATGAATTTGATTAGAGGCAGCAAAGCAAGACAGTGGATCATAGGGAGAGGGGCTTTCCTGGGCCAAGTCAGTTATGGGGTACCTCACAGGGAGTATGCAACATCCCTACACATGGCATGGGGGCCCTCTTGTGGGCCCTGTGTCTTCATGAACCCCATTAAAAACTACCAGTGTGCTGCCTGAGAGGGTATTAATGTTTATGTTTAGTTAGAACAAGGGCTATCCAGCCTCCAGTGCCTGCAGTGGCAGAGGGCACAAACAACAGGCTGTGGGGCTCCAAGTTTTATTGTGTAGAATGTGTATTTTTCTCAACTAATTCAGAAATTACTGGAGCTTGAAAGACACAACAGGTCAGTCTACATGGCTGACTAGATAAGCTGCACCTCAGGTATGGCAACACTGTAAAATACTGAGATCATATTTTGCTTTTCCGTGTGTTCATCAGTCTATTTTCAACTCACAGTGAAGTGTAGCCCAGCTCACCTTTGTCCAGCTCACGTCTTCTTCCTGTCTCCCATCCCACACATGTTTCCAATCATTGCTAATTACAGTCATCACCCCCAGACAGGAGATGAGCACATCAACAGCCTTCATTTCTTGTGCTTTTGTCCCACTGTGGTTACTGGGAGCTGGTGGATATATACACTGTCAAACCTGATCATTTCACATTAAGCACTTAGTGTAGACACAAATTAATGTATCTAATAACTGTGAGAGGACAAATTCTTACCACCTACAAGCCTCCAGTATCTGAAGGGGGGCCTATAGGGATGCTGGGGAGGGACTCCTCATGAGGGACTGTAGTGACAGGACAAGGGGTAATGGGTTAAAACTTAAACAGGGGAAGTTTAGATTGGATATAAGGCAGAAAGTCTTTCCTGTTAGGGTGGTGAGGCACTGGAATGGGTTGCCCAGGGAGGTTGTGAATGCTCCATCCCTGGCAGTGTTCAAGGCCAGGTTGGACAAAGCCTTGGGTGGCATGATTTAGTGTGAGGTGTCCCTGCCCATGGCAGGGGGGTTGGAACTAGATAATCTTAAGGTCCTTTCCAACACTAACTATTCTATGATTCTCATGGAAACCACTGCTGTTTCTAACCATGTTCAGTGTGAAATAACTATGCAAACTTCAAACTAAACATCCCCAAGCACTCAAGACATGGAATCTGCAAGATCATGCAAAATCTGTTTGCCAAGGTGAGCAGAACCTCAACAAAACAACCCAAGTGAAGATAATCTATTGCAAAGCCATGCTCCTCTTCAGCCAGTGAGGTGGTTAGCAGTAGGAATAGGAAGGTGCTGGTCCTAGAAAAGCTATTTTTAAAGCACAAACGCTTCCTGACACACCACCTCTGTTTCCTGGGGGTTAATTGCAGCCATCCACGGTGAAAGTAAGTCTTTGCACTCTCCCTCCCTTCAGAATAAGTATATCCCCTGCAGGCATCGCACCCAGCCTGCCTAAACAGAGACACATCTCCGTTTCCAAAGGCAATTCTATGCTCCCAGGTGGAAGGGAGATGAAGGATGAACTGTGGCTAACACAGCCCTGATCTGCTGAGTCTGAATAAATGTATTCAACGACAGTTTGGAGCCACTGGCAAGCTTCACCTCCCCATCTGTAGGAAATAAATTTCTGCCCATCGCAATAATTAAGTAATGATATAGCTGGAAATTCAGAGGTTAGTAATAACCCACTATAGGAAAGTGGGATAATTTTGTTTGCTTCCCAGAAAAAGACTTTAAGGGACTTAAAAAATGCAACCAAAAGCCCCACCAGCACTGCCCTATCCCACAGCTACAGGGCATTTACATTTTTAACCACAGCACTGTACTGATGTATGCTTTCACTCTGAATTCCAGCATCTCTGGTTTGTATTAACAAGTTCCTTCCAGTCTTTATAAACTTCCTGGAGCAGAAAAAGACATGAAGGCAGAGGTTGATGTTCTGTTCAGGTTACTCAGGGCAGCTGATCTCTCCTTCTGGATAGGCACTTGATGTAAATCAAGGTGGAATTTAAGCAATGGATTAAGTATCTACCCAAGCTAGTAATTACGGGAAATGGATCCCTCCCAGGGAATATAGAAATTTTATGAATGCTTTCCAGCTATATCATGATCCTGGTGTGCTTTCAAGTATAGATTCGCCCTGGTTCACAAAGGCATGAAGACAATCAACTATGTTTTTCTGGTCAGCCCCTTTCTACATGTATTCTTAATAGCTTTAATCGTAAGTTATTTCACTGTCTCAGCCTGTCTTGTCTACTCAGCTGTACTGTTTTACATGTGGGCTGTCTCTTGCCACATTCAGCATGGAGCATAATGAAGCCCTGAGTGGAAACTAAAGAGACTCGTACCAGGTGTTTAGAGATATACCTTTGCAATGGTATGCCATTGAACACACCTACTTTAAACATATTTTGTGGTTTTCTTGTCCAAGAAACAAAAGCTGTTGGGTTTAAATGCTGATTTATTTTTTTTTCCTCAAGCAATTGTTTCAAATCCTTTAGGAATTTTCTCTTGTATTCTTCAAACTCTACGAAAATATACTTAACATTTGTTCTAAATGATGTTAACAAAAGAAACAAGTCCTCTAGGTGGTGCTACTATTTCAAATAAAGCAGCTGGATGCTTGAAGGTTTCATTGTAATATACTGCTGTGGTACCCTATGAGAAAAGAGCACTGAAAAATCCTGGCCCCACTAAAAGAACTGATGTCAAATAACCTTAAGCTTCATCTGACAAGTGTTAGTAGTGAAGGGCAGTCTGGATGTAAACATAGTAAATATTAATTGCTTCCCTTTGAGAATGTGTTTCAGTATCTTACTATATGCAAAAACATTACAGGATGTATTGATAAAAATTAACTTTCAATGGCTGACTCAGCTTTCTATGTCTTTGATTTTCAGTTTTCCCAATAATTTGCAACTGACCCCTCCAGCATACATACAACTCTTCAACTTCAGTGACTCGTGAATATTCCCTGACCACAGTCTTTGCATGTGGCACAGGCCAAGCACGACAGCTTTCCCTGGCGAAAGATGCATTATCTGGCCCAATTTCACAGCAGCACTTTAGCACAATTGTACTTCAAATACAAACACTGAAACAATACACATACTTGACCTGGAACATGGTTAAAAATCTTGTTGGCTTAAGGATATTTGTATATGCACACTTTACTTGGGCATTAAAGCCTGTTAAGTGCTTTAGTTATTACATAACAAGGAAAGAAAGTAAAACAATTTACCTTTTCTTGCTCAACGCACCTGCACAGGTCCAGTACTGAAATACTGGGCCAGCTGCCTATAGGGCAGATTTTCTGATCCTTAGTTCTTTTCTGGCCAGCCACTTTCCTAGAGAATGCCAAAGTTCCTGCTATTCTTTCCTCTCTTTCCAGGGCTCCTATTAGTACTTTTTGAACATCTGCCTATTTCCTCTCTGATATTGTTCCTGATTCTCTTTGTAATCCAGCCACACGAATTTGCAGCACCAGATTTCTTTCCCCGTGTGGTTGCTGTCAAAGTCAAGAACAAAAACTTTCTGATTTTAAGATTATTATTGTTATACATTATTATACATCTGACCTTTGAAACATATATTCGCTATAACCACTATCTCTTACTTTGTGCAAAGTTCATCTGTTATCTAAATAAATGTCAAGTTTGGGATCTTGTTAAGCCTTCAGCCTCAGTAACAGTAACTGTGAATTCTGGAGTTTACTCAGTGTAAGAAACATTTATTTCATTGATTTTGACTAGTCAACCTTTAAAATTTCACAGAGTATATTTGTTCTTGTGTATAAGAATAACAACATCTCTAGATTATACATTGTTTTGTTTTCTTTCTTTGTGTCCCCATTTATTTATCTGCTTTCCAGGAAACATTCCTCATAGGAATATGTCGCCGGACTCTTGGTGATTTTTACTGCTCTTTTATGCCTCCTTCTCCGATTTTGTAACAGTTTGGTTTTTGAGGCTGCAAAGCCACCAGATCGAGGCTATAACTGCTCACACAAATACTTTTTAAAAGAAGAAAGAGACTCAAAAAGCAGACAGAAAGTATGAAAGCCACTCTGTTCCGTATCAAGTGAACCATTTTTCTCTAGGTGATTTTGTTATTTTCAGGTTATCAACAGAATATCCACAGCCCCTGACCACTTGCACCATCCTGCAAAACTTAGTAGAATCATAGAATCATAGAATAGGTAGGGTTGGAAAGGACCTTAAGATCATCAAGTTCCAACCCCCCTGCCATGGGCAGTGACACCTTGCTCTAAACCATATTACCCAAGGCCTCGTCCAACCTAGCCTTGAACACTGCCAGGGATGGAGCATTCACAACCTCCCTGGACAACTTATTCCAGTGCCTCACTACCGTAACAGGAAAGAATTTCCTCCTTATATCCAACCTAAACTTCCCCTGTTTAAGTTTTAACCCATTACCCCTTGTCCTGTCACTACAGTTCCTAATGAAGAGTGCCTCCCCAGCATCCTTATATAGTAAAGCTCCTGTTAGCTAACAATCAACGCAAATGTCAGCTCAGATCTCAGAAATGCATGAGGGCACTTGCAAAGAGTAAAAGAAATGGATGAAGACTGGCAAAAACCTGCACTAAAAAAGTGCACTTACAGACAGCTCTGAAGTGTGGGGAAATCTCAATTTATTTATTTCTAAAACAAAACAAACCCCCCCAAACAACTATGGAAACTGTTTCCAATACTTCACAGAGAGCCCACATGCAAATACCTAGCCAAGTAAATACAAACCAAGCAGTACAGACAGTTTCTTGCTAATTTATATTAAAAATAACCATGAAGGCATGAGCTTAAACAACAGGTAGTTTATTTAGCATACTTCATGAATCCTTGCACACTGTAATTTCCCCAATCCTCTATCTTTTTCCAGGAATACCTGTTCTTATGAATGAAGTGCTTTAGTTGTCCTACTTGTGAGAACCAAAAAAGGCAACTACAATTAACCTTCTTAAAAATAAAGTAAGATTAGACTGACTTTGGAAGTGATTCCTTCAACATCTCAGAATATTCTGGCTCGTAATAAGGTTCCAAGATAGGTTTTAATTTGACTTCTTCTGGTAGTTTTTGTGTCTCTTCTCTCCTGCTTCCATCTCTTAAAAGTGGAACCAATGTTTTCCAGTTTTTCCCTGAAACTAAAAAGCAAACGAATGGTTAATTTTTCACCCTCCACAGAAACAGAAGATATTATGCAAGTGGTTTAAATAGGAAGCTGATGAAAGAAGAAAGAAGCAGGAAGAAATGGTTTTGTAGTTTTCTTCCCCATACTGTTCCATGAGCTTTCCATATTTCACCTGGTAAACACCAGCAGAGACTCACTGTACAGTTAAATTATTGTCTGCTGGATGCTGAGCTCCCAAACTACAGGGTTCGGGGACTCTGAAATACGTTCCTGGCTACCTGGCTTCTATTCTACACTGTTCTATCTCCTCTGGATTTACACACATTATCTACCTCATAAAAATCTACAATGGGAATGATGAATCCATGGGGCTTCTATTCCAGTGAGTAAAACTGCTATGTGAATAATGAGCCCACTTAATCCTTTACATTTTGTGCTGACTAAAAATGCCATTAACTTGGCTACTGCCATTATTGTTAAGTGCATAAAACTGGCTGCCCTCTAACAATTAATTGATGCTGATTCTATTACCAGTGTCAAACCCATACTAGTATTTAGGTTCCTGAAACCCTCACCTCTGCCAGGCTTAATAGAGTAACTGGGATTTCGTTTGAGGTCCCCAGAGCACCCAGGGTCTTCATTGATTATGCCCAAATTAGTATTCCACGTGGACCAGTTCACTTCATCAACCCTAGGGAGAGAACACAAAACCAGTATCTATTCTAAGGGTCACCAGACCACTCCAGAATGAGTTTAGATCACAAACTGCCACCTCTCAAGCCTCAGATCTGACCCAGAAAACAGACTAAACTGATTACTGTAGACAGTGTCAGTACACTACTTCTCAGAGTGCTCCACAGGAAAAGTTCTGCTTCCCATCACCAAACACCTTATTGCTATTTGCCTACAAAAGATTGTTCATTTGACATACAAACAAGTTACCTAAAGCACCATCTGTAATCATCTTGGCCATCAGGTGTGACCCCGACCAAGACTTGCTTCCCAGATCGGAATGAACGCCTCACACAGTTCAAGTAGCTGTTCTCAATATCCAAGATTGTGATAGCTCTCTATAGGTAAAAGAAAACAGAACACTGAAGATGCAGTTTCAAGGTCCCGCTGTTAATATGTCATTAAAAATGCTGAATTACTGCCCTCTCATTAGAACTATTAAGTTCTCTTTCTTACCTCAAACAAAAACTGATACGCCTTTTGAGGTTCTGGTAAAGACTGTTTTTCTCCTTGTGTAATCCCTGTCTCCATAGTCTGATAAGGATTTTCCACCATCAAAAGCCCGAATAATTTTGTCTAATAACAAAAGTACTTATTTTCTTAAATTCTGAACATCTCCGGAACACTGGGAATATCTGCTTAGGCAAAGCATCAAATACGCATGGAAAAGGAACCAATATACTTTTTTTAGGAACTGTTCAGGGGATCAGAAAGCAGCAGGAACTTGACACTTAAATACATGTCAGGTCCTAAAGATTCTTTCTAAAATTTGTGATTCCCCATACCCTCTTTCTTGGATAACAGCCTCACATAACCAATGTACCTGGAGTTTCCAGATGCTCTTGCTCTCCTGTGCAATTTTGCTCACAGTTTCCCCCATCAGTGCAATAAGCATGTTGAGCAGGAGGATGTATGTAAGGATGACATAAAGAACCAAAAGGATGACAAACACTGACTTGAACCTATAGTTCTCTGTGAACTCCAGGTCCCCCATCCCAATAGTGAACTTGAAGAGCTCCAAGCAGGTATAATACAGACTGTTGTAGGATGTCCGCCCTCGTTTCACATGGCAACATCGGGAATATTCAGAGCTATTTGTATCCTGCCCCTCATTGTCATCTTCAATTAAAGTCACCACAGCTGTTGCAAAAGAGGAATCACATACGCAAGATGAAAATACAATTTGGTATCATAATTCCATTGCAAGCAATGAAAGTGAGGATAAACATAAGACATTTTATCTTCATGGTTACTGTCCCCAGAGAAACTGCTCTATAAAATATTTGCCAGAACTGACACCCTCTCAGAAGGTGTTGTCTCAGTCTGAACTATACAGAACAGGATGACTGTTTTTCCATCAGCTTTGCAAAGCATTTTGAGACCCAGCAATGAAAAGCTGCCTGAAACTACTACAGATAATTGTTATTCTGAAGAGATATTTCTTTTGTAATAAGGTTAATATGTTAGTTCTAGTTGGAAGCAAAGTCAAAGCCACTTGAAAAATAAAATCTTCTGAGATTCTTTACGGTAAGAAAAAGTAACTCCAAATATGACCTTACCTGTAGAAAATCCCAAGAGAAATACTAGATAGACAAACATGAAGCGACATAAATCCCTAAGGATCATCTGTAAGATGGAAAATGAGTATTTTTATACTGTTAGAACTTGAATATAAACTATAAAAAACCAAAACCTAGTAGAATATACCGCTTCAGCTCAACAAGGCATTCGCTGTGTGTGGCTGTTCATGCACTGAACAGCTGTTGACCCTGCTGAGATAATAGAACTTTAATACAGAAAACATTTTTCTCCATTACTTATGCAACGGCTTACATACACAAGACATATGCTTGCCAAGTAATTTCATCTTTGTGAGGATAAACCACATTAAGACAATTTCATCTTTCTTCCCCTCTTGGGCTAGCTATCTACATCATACATAGAGATATATTAGCCAGCTACTGCCTCTTAAATAATTGCTCTGTTTGGTAACATTTAAACTATACCTAAAGAAATTTCCAGCTGATAGAAGGCTGTGCCATTTCCCTCCACACCAGTCTGCACTGTTCTCAGTCTACTTTAATCCATTCCTATTCAACTGTAGCTATTTTGAAGCACAGGGGTTAATAATAATACCACAGCTACTATAAAATACATGGATGAGGAACAGCACATTTTTCTACATAGCTTAAAAGTGGATCATTTAATTCAGAAAATAATGACCAAGTGCAGTAGGGTGGTATAAGGTTTCCCACTGACACCATGGATGTGCCATGGATGCCAAGATATGTCAACTTCTCTCCTGGAAACAGGGCTGTTGGCAGCAGTGTTCTAATCTGAGCACCCTGCTGGTCTCATCACCCACTCACACTGAACTAACCTTGGCAATCATGACAGAGTAAATACCCATCTGCTGGAAGCCACGGGTGTAGTACAGCATGTTTGCCCAGCCCAGCGCCAAGGAGAAGACCATGGAAGCCACATACAGTTCCTGGCCACAGAAGTACAGCACCACAGAGCTCAGGAGGAGCAAGGAGTGAACAAAGCTGAAAGAAAAGCATGGTCTGAATGCATGAGGTAATACATCAGAATGACGGATTTTCCAAAAACACAAAGGAACCTTGGAAGACATTTCCTCTCCCTTCATTCTTTCCCTTCTTAAACTCTGTAATTCCTCTTGCAATTTACCCAGTTTGCCCACATACAAATTCCTGTGGTCTCATCCCTGCTCTTCCTTGTTACTGGAGGGAGGAAAAGCCCTTGAAAACACCAGTTGCTTCAGCACTCCCACTCTTTCCACAGACCCATGAAATTGCCCTGTTTAATTGCCCTCCAGCTAGGAGGAGAAACAGGCCAAATTATTGAGAGGCAAAGCTCCCTTCAGGAATAGGAGGATTTCTGCACATCCAATGCATACACTTGATTGCAAGCCCAACTTGGAGATCTACTCCTAACTCTGCTGTATGACAGTTACCGAACTTCAGACATTTCATTTGTTTTACCTCCCAGTCAGGTACTGATCCAGACCGGCTTGTTCCAAGTGCTATGCTATCCACTGGCAATTATTTTGTAAGGACCCAGGAAATTACAGCAAAGTATCTACCAATTACAAATGGCTTCAGCCAAAGCTACAGATCTCACACACTGAAATGCAATCAAAGATATTGGAGCTTACAAAAGAACCTCACTGTAGCTGTCAACTATCAGTGTCCTGAATGATGGGCGCCTCTGCACGAAATACTGTATCTGGAAAGGAAAAAAAAGGGGGGGGAATGAAGACGAGGTTTGCATCCATGGAGGGATTAAGCATCCCATGTGAATGCATCAACTAAGCACTGACACATATACCAGGAAGCTGGTACCTATTCAGCATCTCCCAAAATAGCTGAAAACCAACACCAGCACAAGATCTAGGGAGGACTCTCAAGTGACACTTGGTTTCTCTTTCATCTGGCACCTCTTTTGAAGACAACAACCTATTCAGTCACTGGTTTGAGGACTGTGTTTTACTGCACACTCCCCATTGGCTGCCAAGAGAAAGCAGGGGGACTTAAAGCTAAGACAGGTGATCTTTAATAGAGGCCTGGCTATTTGCAATATCCCATTTTTAAGCCTTGACTAGGCTAATTATCGAGATTGCTCACTGGCTTCTAAAGATAGTACTTTTTTATACAATAGATGAAACTGTACCTTAGCTCATTAGTAACTGGAGAACTCCTAATCAGGTCAAGAAAAAAAGATTTGTGTGAGTGAGTGAGTGCGCAAGCTGTCTGGCTGGGTTTAAACCATGACAAGCTCTCAACTACAGCAGTGAGCATTGTAGCAGCCAATGCTAATGAACAGGAAAGGCATGTTTGATTCGCTCCTACACCAACCCAAACAGCAGAATGAAAAGTTTCAAATATCTTACCCCTCTGAGAAAAAAATAGAGACCTCCCAATACACTCAGGATCTCTCCGGTCACTCGAAAATATTCCCCAGTGCTGTGACCAAATGTGAAGGGAGGCTGTATAAGACAGAAAGATAGATATGTTCAGCAGAACTGGAGACAGGAAAGACCTGGCTTTGCCAGCAGCTGAAAGCAACTGTATTTCTGAGAGAATACATTAATTTTATGAAAGGCTTGCAGCAAGGAGGCAAGACTGGGAGCCAGCAGGGTCAAAACCTCCCCCCTGTCCTCAGGAAAGAGGAAAATCCTGATGTTAGGAGCATACATTCAAATGGGGGGCAGATCTGGGGTATCATGCACTGGGTGGTTCATGCCAAGAGTAACATACCTTCTCTTTCTTCTCTACAGGTCTGTAGTAGGCTGCTGCAGTGAGGATGATAATGTGGAGGGTATAGACAAAGAAGTTGAAGTAAAATAAGTGTTTGACAAACCGGTCCCACTTGTCTTGTAGCAGCCTGTTAAGGGGTTCCACCAGCAGCATCTCATGACGGTTCTGAGTGGAAGAAAAAAGAGAAGAATCTTGACAGGACCAGTATATAGTATGCTCTGGAAACAGCAATGATATTCATCTTCAGCAAATGTTCCCTCTTAAACTCAAGAGGGGAGATAGCTGTTTTGCAGAACTAAGGCAAAAGAGCTGGAGCTCTTCCCCAACAGTGAATAAAATGCCAAGGAGGTGCATACTCACTGGGGTTTCACTGCTGTAGGCAATAATCTCAAGCACTGAATTTTTTTCACATGTGTCTATACAGGACAGATCATAAAGGGATGAGTGGACAGGTCCATAAGCCCATTCAGTGAACTTCCTAGACAAATGCCTGCACTCAGGATCTTTGATCTCTCGTCTGAGGATGTAAGCGAAAATCTAATTGCAAAAGAACAACACAAGCAACATTTCAGTGCTAATGGACTTCTAGTTCCTTGGTATCTTCACAAGACAGGATGGCTAATTTCTCCCTAGGTTAACTGAAGTCAAATGACTGGAACACTGCAGAGATCAAAGTCTGAAGTAAACACTATTAATTTTCTGACTGGATGCTGGGAGACAAGCAATACAAATACCACTTACAACTTGCCATGACTGGTTTCAAAACTGCAAGAGAAAAGCAGAGATGTATGTTACACATCTCTGAGCATGCAGCCATTTGGAATGGGGACTGCCAAAAGATGAGTTATATCAGCCAAAGTACAGGGCCTTTAGTGGTTCAGATGACAGCAGAAACTTTCTGTTTCCACTTGGGCTGCCTGCATACCCGTGGTGTATGAGTAATGCAAGCTGGGCACAGACACACAACACTTTGTAGCCTTTAAGTTTGGTGGTTGAAAACTATAGTTTTGCATGTTAAACTGCAGCCCTGGTTCCTCTGAACTAAAAGGCCCTAACAATAAGCAGTGATAAAATCTGTTCTACATAACTATTTTGCATGTACTCTGTGTAACTTGGTCAGTAATGAGACAGTTAATGAGACAGACATTTGCTCACCTACCCCTATCTTCCCTGTTTTGGCTGCCAGAGTTAAAGGAGTCAGCCCTTTCTTGTTGGTGAGTTCTTCTAGCTTCAGGATTGGATTAATTTTGGCACCAAGGATCAATATGTTATTGTACATCTTGGTAACAAACTTGGTATTATCCTTAGTATTATCTGCAATCTCCACCAGTGTGTGAAGGACCATGTTGCCCATGGAGTCCTCAGCAGCGATGTTGGCAGCCTGATAGGGGTTCTCAAGGAGGAATTTCACAATGCAAAGCTGGTTGGTGCAGGCAGCCAGGGAGAGAGGCAGCTCCCCTATGGGCAAGCAATGGGAATGAGTTACCAGAAAGCCCATTATTACACTTACATAAACAGAAAGATCACGTTGTTTTCATCTCTCACTGTAAGGTCCATTTCCCTGTATAACAACTATCACGAATTTTTGTGACAGTTGTTACAATCACATCTGCTCTGGTTTAACTGCAACACAGAAACATGGCTCCTTAAAAAAAGCACTGGAAGGACAGCTGACAGAAGGTTACAAGCTTTCAAAGGATACAATGCCCAGGATACAGATTCTCCACTCCCACATAAACAGGATTATTTAACAGCCTGCATTTCGGATTATTGATTGAGTTATCCTAGCATTAAGCCCATTCTGTGCTCAGGATACAAAGGATACAGAGTCTCCAGTCCCACATAAACAGGATTATTTAACAGCTTGCATTTGGGATTATTGATTGAGTTATCCTAGCATTAAACCCATACTGTGCTCACCCCTACCAAAATAAAAGCCAGGTTTCCCTTTGATTTTCCTGAAGAACTCCCCACAGGCTCTTGCATGAACATCTGCTCCATTCTGGACCAAGAGCTTCACCAGGTACATGTTCCTTCTCTCAATGGCGATGTGAAGTGCAGTCTGGCCTACAGAGACATTCATTAGATGAAATCTTCAACATTTAATACAGACAGAGAGCTTTCAGGCACGACAATTTGTTCAGTTCCATGTAAGATGGTGAAACTGAGAGCTTTGCAGAATAAAAAGCTCTGTAACTGAACAAAAAAATGATGGCACAGAGAGCAAATGCAAGTCCCCTGAGCTTGCTATTAAATCACTGCATAAAAACTGGCAGAATATTGCACCTCACAGAACACGGCCCTAGAATGAATGCGCTGATTGTTAATCACACTGGAGCTTTGGGTGCTGCATCCTCAGGCATAAGGCCTCATGCAGAAGGCTGTTTGAAAGTCCTGCCTAACCCTATCTTCAGGCTTAGCGCCAAGAGTATTAACTGCAGCAGTCATTTCTCTTACCCTTGTAGTAATTGTCCGTATACTCTGCGTTAACAAACTCTTTCAGAGTTCCAGTTTTCTTTGCAATATCCAGCAGCAAGGGAATAGTGTCATTTTTCCCATCATGTAGATTCAGCATGGCTTTCAGTAAGCAAGTTTTCCCAGTTTCTGGCTCTATAGCAGAAAAAAATTGAAGCTATATAGAAGTGATTGCAAGCCTCCTATCTACTCCTGGGCATGCAGGAATTAATGAATTTCTTTTCAAAAGCTCATAGAGGGTTTGACAGAAAATTGCAACTTTTCTGAATTCTCCTGTAACCTTACAATCAATGTATTTTTGCACAATCAATAAGGAAGCACTGGCTATTAGAGGACCTCCTGCAGACACTGAACACAATTATGTTTTTTTATTTCAATCTCAGGAGCACTGCTAGAAGAAAAAGAGGGTAACATAAGGTATGTCAAATTAAAGGGTACCTTTGAACTCATCATCTGTCAGATGCTTCAGGGTTCTGTTAAGGTAGAGTAGCAGATCATCCAGGTCCCTTGTGTTGCCTTGGGCTACAGCATCAAAGATCCTTCTGCGGTCATAAAACTTAAAAGCCTTTTCTGAGCAGCCTGTGATGGAATCTGTAGATAGGAGCCTAACAAGGGAGAATTTCAGTTACTTGAAGTCAGATATTTAGCATACTTTTTATAAATTACCACAATACTATTTTTCATTTGCTTGTGTGAAATAATAAGCACTAGAGATGGATCTGCAAAGTCTGTGAGGTCAACAAAGTCTGCGAGGTCAACAAAATCTGCAAGCAACTGTCCTGATAGATTTATGTATCTGTTGCTGAAAGTTGAGAACAAGGCTTAACGGAGGTATTGAAGTACAACAGCCTAACTGCAGGCTGGGAGCCAGGCAAGCCCACGTTATCATTCTGAACAATGTCCATTCACTAAACAGAATTAAGGTCTGCCGCTAAATTTGGGCAAAATATCCATGGAATATATTTTCAGAGATGTAAAGAGACAACAGCTATTGTCACTTTCATATGCAACACTCCTCATTTTGGCACAGAAAACAGTGAAACTGAAAAAATGGGCACACTCATGGAGGGAACAAATGCTGCTCTAAGAAACAGTCTGCAGCTGTCAAATCACTGATTACAACCAAATCTTGCAAAGCAAACTTACTTGTGAAGTTTCCCCCTTTCCAAATTGGCATGAAATTTGATGACAGAAGGTGCCAACAGGTGATCCATCTGGTACAAGGAGTCCATGGGAGCCATGTCCTTATCACTATCCCCCATCACAAACCTCCCACGTCTTGCAAAGATGTTGCTTTTGGGTGGCTGGACCTTGGTGCTGAGTGTACTCTGGAGGCTGTCAGGCGTTTCCAGCGTGGAGTCCTCCCCATCTGTGTGTTCATCTGTCGCTTCAGATTCCTCCATGTCAGAACTGCCAACTTTCCTCATTTTCCCAAGAATAGAAGACATGATGAGCAAGCAGCCTGTGGGGAATGACACAAACACCTCAAGTCAGCACTTCACAGGGCTATGAGTTCCCGTTTTGCCTAGTACTCTCCAGAAACAGTAGGGAATGGATTGGTTACTCTCATCTTAGAAGTGAGACAGATGGACACATTCACTAGAGAGGTGAAACAGTTTAGTAGGTCATTATCTTCATGATATTTGTTACTGTCCCCACTGCCCTTACCTGTTTCAGAATGGAGAAAGCAAGTCAGGGTGCCCCACATCTTGCCAGCAACCCCACTGCAGACCTGACTACCTCTGTTTAAAATTAGTCCCTCATCCCACCCCCTCCAATCACTGTTAAAGCCTGAACAATCTTTGTTTTATTTCTCTACTTTCTGTTTTGTGCCACAATATGTTCTCAGGATTTTATCAGGCATGTGAAAAACACCAGGTGTGCCATAACAGCAGCTCAGGGATGCTGGGCACTGAGCGCTTCCTGCATATTGGAAAATTATCACTTAATGGCTTCACCAGAATTACAGCAGTGCCCAATGAAAATTGGAGCGTGTGATTCTTGAGATGAGTGTCACTTCAAACATGAGATAGAAAGGAAAAGGTTACCACAGATAAGATTACTGCAAAACCACATGTCTGATCTTGTCTGATTTACAACCACAAAGAATTAGACACAAGTTAACAAATATACTATACTGAAAGTAAAGAAGGTTTTTCCTGCTTTCTTACCAAACTGTTTCAATCAGACAGATGTTGGTCTTTATGCCACTGAATGCAAAATATTCTGGAACTCCAATAGTGGAGACAGGAATGCATCACATCTGGACTGCTTTTAGAGAGCTCTGATCAGCCTTAAAAACATACTCTGAACTCCCAGGTTACTTGGAAATCTTACAGTTTTGAGCACAGGAATGTTACAAAATCTTTAAGAAGCCTTCAATTATAAACCAAATTATAGTAGTCACTAACCTTATCTGTCTATTCGGTGTGAAAACAAGATCATAAACATGCATCAAGGTTGTTTCTCATCACAAAAATATACTGAGGGCTTGTCTGCAAACCTACACTATACATTAAAGCTGAATTTTCACTTCTGTAAGACTAATTAATACTTACATTAAGAGTCATTTACATTTTTCTGTGCAAGCAGGATAGGAAAGAAACTTTTGTCAGGCATTTGCGTTTCCTGTAATTTTGTACAATACACACATAAAGAAAACATGAATTTGCAAACTTGCACATTTAGGGTTACTGGAAGCACCACAGTGTAGTACAGATGAAATACTAATGTCCTCTGTGCTCACCTTTCGAGTTCTTTGTGTCCTTAGAATCACTGAAAGAATAAACATATCTTATTAGCTTAATTGTTCTATAAATAAGAAATCATACATAGAAAAATATTCCCATTTGGAATATGATACTAAGAATAGAGAAGAACAATTACTGCAGTGAAAAAGCTATAGTTTTATAAAAAATACACTGGGAATACAGCCACGTACAGTTTTAATTATTTGTCTTATTTAAATTAATATGGATTAAGCCAAAACCATCAGTGAGATGGCTGTGGAAAATGGAATCCCTTGTTTTCCACTGAATAGGTGCAGTATTAAAATCCACAGAAGAGACTCAATCCTGTCCCCCTGGCAATTTGCTCAAACCTAGGTTAGTCATGATGTGTGCTTTCGTTTCTCAACCCTGTTAATATCTTTGATAATAAAGACAAAGCTGCATTTCCTCAGGAATATCAATTTGCAAGGGAAACTTCACAATTCTGTGGAAGGAATCTTAAAAAAAAATAATAATAATTATATAGCCTACAAAATTCATAACCTACCTGAACTCTTTGATTCCTGGGTGCACTGAAGTTCGATACAATAAATGAGACAAGGAAATATTTATGACAGAGCGTCTAACCACATAACTTACAATAAATAATAGACACTTTACAAACAGCTAAAGCTGTGCTATTCAAATACACACGCACAGCTTACAAGTACAGCACAAAATCCTGTCTTCTGAAAAATAGTCCAGTTGGTAGTCTGCATAAGCACCCTCTGATCTACAGAAATTTGGTGCCAGATATTCCTCTTCCAAGGTGTCTGGACTGAAAAGCCCTCAGAGTTTGCTTCTCCATTTGTCTGCAAAAGTGTTCTATGTGTCTGATGATTTTTAGAATCAAGGGAAGTTCACTAGAACAGAGAATAGAGTAACAAGATCATTAAGAACAATTCTGGAACCAGAAGCATCAGCGGCTTTTATTCCCAGGAGTTTAGCAAAGCTCTTTACAAGAATTGCAGTAAGTTGCTGTTGTTTTTCCCTCCCCTTTAATTGCATTTAGTAATGGATATTCTTCTCCAGATTTCCTCTTCATAAATACACTCAAGCTTGCAAAAAAATCCCAAACCACCAGACTGCAATTCTCTCTGCGGGTCACAGTTTCAATTCAATTTACCAAACCATGTAACACACGCCACAGCTCTTATCTGAGATCAGTCATCTTTCTGGACACCTTTCTTGGGTGTAAAGCCCCACAAAGTATTTTAAAGATAAGCTGATTTTGGACAGAGCTGAAGAAGACAGAAAGTCCTAAAGCCATTCTATCATTCCATATTCCTAATACATTTTAATATATATATGTATGTAACAGCTTCTAAACATGAATGTCATTAGGAGAAGAAGAATCCATATCTAATCCAGGATGGATCTAATTCCCTGAAAAATGAAAAGCTGTGTAATACATTGTTAAATATATGATTTGTATAAGATTCTTCTGCCAAAGTCTAGTCTAGAGAAACAGCTTTTCCAGCAGGCTGAGCTGAGGCTATAGCTGTTAGACTCAAAGCAACCTCCCAACTTCCAGCTCCTGACATTTCAGGTTCGAATATGAAATTATTCAATGAAATTATGTAGTTTATGTTTTGCAAAAGGTAACTATCTTTCTAGTCTTGTCATCTTTATATATATATATATATAAAGGAATAACATATTTGCCTATTTAATAGCAAACTAATTATACTACTTAAAACACCCTAAGGCATTGTACTCTGAAGAAATAAAATGCCTATTTATTAATGCATAAATACAGATTACCAATAAGGCAGGTTGTTAGCTGATGCTCCTGGAACTTTGCTGAGCAGAGCCATCTCATCCAACATTAACTCCTTCACCATTCCAAAGCAGAGATTCAGAAAGTTACAAGGATCAGTGGAGGATGTCCCTAATTCAGTCTCTAGCTTCCTCCTGGTTGCTTTTGCTAAATGCTTCTTCTCTCTCTTCCCATACCAGGCACCAGCTTCTCTCAGTCTTCCCATACTCTGATGCACACACTTCAGGAACTTTCTGCTATGTTTTGATGCCTTCTTCATCAGCCTCCTTGACCTGTATTTGCTTCTTAGCAACACCACTCCATTGCTTTTTGCAACAGTTGTTGGGACATACCATATTCCATCCCAGCAGGGACCTGGTTTAAAGATATAAACTGATAAGGAGATGTGGATGCTTATCAAAATAGGCCAGTTAGAAACAAGAAGGAACTTACTTTCTTTCTTGGGCCTGCATCCAACCTGCTGCACAGGCTTTGTGCAATTTCTGTGCTTGGGAGTGATTTCACCAACTAAGAGCCCTCTCTATCACTGTAAAAGGAAAAACATCAGCATATGTGCTGAAGTTCTTAAAGAACTATCTGAATCCAGCCTGCAGGGCTGCAGAGACGGTCTTGCCTTCAATGATAGAACCTAAAACCAGACCACAATTTTACCAGCTTCTGGAAACAAAAGTTAACAGCATGCTTAAGTAGTACTATCAGCTCTTTCCAGTTATTCAAGAAAACTGAAAGCACATCCGCTGATACAAACATACTTTGTAACAACATAAAAAGGAAAACAACATATAAGTAATTCAGACTTTCTACAAAAACATTAATCTAGCCTACGCTTCCTCTGTAATTCCTATGTATGCTGATAGTTCCCTAAACACAGCATGAAATAGATGCATGGAGAGAGGGTGGAGGGAGATGGAAATTAATCCATCTCTGCAATTTAGATTTCAGAACAGCATTCTCACTAAAAAAGTGAGCCACTCCTGATGTTGCTAATGTCTAAGACAGGAATACACATCCATATTTCAGTCAAAATACATGCTTCTATGTAATGAAAGTGTATCTAGATAACACAAAACTATCTTACTTGCTTCCCAATCTCATTTGAGCAACAAGGTGTATACCCATCTTGGTTTAGACAGAAAAAGTATACCTGTTTTCATTTTAAAATAAAGTATAGGGGGAGAAAAAAATTTTATGAGCAACACAAGATAAAAACTTGGACTTTTAAAGGGAATTCAGATGAGCAATACTTGACATTAAAAAGAGATTAGAGTCCAGCCTGGAAGCTGCTGTATTAAAGCTCATTACTCTGATCGTTGTATTCCATCTTTTACAGAGACAACATGAGAAACTATTTGTTCATGCAACAGCTACCGAACTCCTCAAACAAGGCTGACATCTACTGTGCTGCCTATATCTATGTATATTGTGAGACAGCTTAAGAACAAGAAATCTCTAATGAAAACATGAGACTAAGTCACAGACTTACACATCTAAGTTACAGACTCCACATCTTAGTTACAGACTTAGTCTGTAGCTACTCATCTCTCCTAGTCTTTATAAACCTACTTCCTACCAGGAAAATGAGCCTCACATTAAGTATCATTTTATGCAGAAAGCTAATAAATCTTTCCTAGTCACTCAGTCAAATTCAATGTGGTAATTACTTCTTATTTCACAACTGGGAATGACAGAGCAATAAAATGTGTACACCCAGAAGCAGACATTAAATGCAGGTTAGGGGTTTTTTTCCACTGTAATGACACTGCATGTTAAAAGAATTGAAAGAAGTGAAAGGAAACACTGCAAAGCTGGAAAAAAAAACAAAGAAGCTGCATCTCAGGCCATCCCAAACAACGGCTTTATTTTCTATGGAACATCACCATGGCAGCCCCCATGGCAGCATCAACATCCTTCCCGTAAACCACAGGGAACGGAAAAACCCTTTCCACTTCTTGCCTCAGCACCTCGTTCCTGGCAAGGGCACTGCCGCTCCCCAGAACCCTCCTCACTCCAGTCTCCATCAGGCACTGCACAGGTAGCATGGAACAGAGGTTTTCAACGATGCCACGGCACAGGGCTCTGGTTACATGACCCAGAGAGAGGTCAGAGACAGCAATATTGCTCACTGATGCCAACTGCTCAGGAACGTGTCTCTCTCCAAATATGGTTGGGTGGATTGAGAGTTTGCTGTTGGTTTGGGCCAAGGCTGCTTTGATTATCTTTGTATAGATGGCAGACTCCTGGACCTGAAGTCCTGCAGATGGGAAATATCACGTTACTCATCTGAAGAGATCTAGTGTATCTTACATGTGGAAAGTTAAATTGGACAATCCACCCTTCAGCAAGATATGTCCATCTTCTTCTGTGCCCCAGAAGTCATTGTTTTTCCAGGTTTATGAACCACAGTTCTCCCATCCAATTTTATCTAGAACCTGCATTACTTAAAATCCTTTTCAGGTTACAGAAACTGCCTTTCCTGACAACACAGCTATTCATCTTTGCCTATACTGTCTTAAGTTACACAAAACACCACCTTTAAACACATTAACAGCAGATCTCGGCTTCAGTGGCCGAATTGCATATGAATGCAAAGTTCACTTCAAGTACTCACTGCAAGAATAATTTCAGAGCTTATTTCTGTATTGCAAAACCCAAGAAATTGTTAAAAAACCCTGTGAAGACCACGTTTAAAGCACTTGGAAGATATTACATGAGTTTAAGTCTTAAAATCCATTAGAGTCCTGCAAAATATGAAGCAAAAGGCAACTGATCTAATCAAGGGACTCTTCTGGACTGCATTCATACATAATTAGAAGGGTGTCCTCAACTTCACTGGCTTTTACTTTTGAAAATCAACTTGCAAAAAATAATCCTCTTGTGTTCTTAAAACAAAATCCAAAACCTAGCGGCAATGTGAATGTGGAGTCCAAGCATGACTGTCCCAGCATGTTCATAAGCTTCAGCAGGAAATTCCAGAGATCTGGGAAGCATGACCCAAGAGTTACATCCTCACTCCCTATGTGGCATGAAAAAACAGCTCAAGGCCTGTTCCTTTACCTTAGCTTCTTTTTACCCTGCTGATGAATCAAATTTTTAAGCTATCCTTGAAATATAACCTTGAAAATACAGCTATCCTATATTTTACGCTATCCTTGAAATAGCTTACCTAGCTCTTCTGTCCACTGTGCCACCATGTCCACAAATGTTGCTAGGACATTGCCCCCATTAAGTGATGCTGCCACAGCCAAGTAGTCATCATTGAAGTAGGGAAAATAAGTAAGAGCTGAGGAAGGATCTGGCATGTCTGGAGGCTGGAAACCAGGAGGCATTAGGATACTCAGCTGAGCAGAGGTGCCGATATTAAGAACTAGAACATAAAAGCAAAAAATAAATCAGTGTTTTACTAGGCTACCCTGAAGGAGACCAATGAGAAAACCAAGCAAGATATCAAAATGATCATACCTGCATCAGTCCTCTCAGTCAGACAGGAATACACAGAGCACTGGAAATCCCCCAGAGCAACTCCTACTTTTGCTCCTTTGGGTATTCCATGCCATACATTGACTGTTCTGCCTGCAATACTGCCAGGGTCTCCCACCTCTGGAAGCAAGTGAATGGGAAAGCCAGATTCTTTTAATCTGCAATCAGAACAATATTATTGCAGGAAAGTAGTGTGGGAATGTGTAGTGTGACTACAAAAGCCTCTCTGAGGTCACAGACGAACCCAGACATGCATTTGTGTCTGCTGGATTTATGGATGCTTTCACCTATTTGGAACGCTTTGTCTTGGACAGGGGCAGCATTCCAGTTCAATGAGCTGGGAAAACCAGAATCATCTAGAAGAAGAAATAGCTTTCCTTTATATGCATCTTGATTACCTGAGATTTATCCTAGTGGTGTCATACGGACAAGCAATTCCAGGGCAAAAGGACAACCACAAAACCAGAAAAGAAAAAGCAACTTCACAGAACTTGAAGCTGTCATGCAGTTAGTGGTTCAAAACCAAACCACAAAGAGTTAAGTCCAACAAACTCCTTACATAAGATACTCTACATTGCTACAGCAATAACACCAAATTAATAACAGCTCAGTAGGCCAAATGCAAGTTTCTGTCACTCTTTCATACCTTCATGAGCAGATCTTTTCACCTTGGAGTCCTGGCCTAACCTAAGCTCTGAATTATATAAGGCCTTAGCACTCAGCCCTGAAAGAGCAAATCATTAAAATAAGTAAGTAAATTCTTGAAAGAGCAAATCGTTAAAATAAATAAGTAAATAAACGAACTGATTCCCTATAAAACTTTCTGAAGATCTGTAACTCTTAGGTATTATCACAAGTAAGTCTTAGTAGTTGTGAAGGAACTCAGCTGAATGAACTACGGAACTGTCTTTTACCATCACAACATCTTGGCTGCAGCATGCACTTGCCCACCCCATCCCATCACAGAAAGGAAGAGAGCAGTTTGGCATATGAGGCCTCACTGATGAGTCTCTCAACTCTGCTCTCTTAAGTATTTCTAAAATATCATGCCAGATTTTATACGCTTTAGACATATGTACCTTGCAGAACAAACTCTCAACAGTTCTTCAGTACAGGCCACACATATATAGAAGTAACTTTCAATCCCTTTTTATCTGTAGCACTCTCATACTTAGGGACCAGAGATGTTCACATTGCCCATCACAAGCAATATACAAAACCCATTTGATGTCCTTAGCACTTACATATCAGTATTCCAGCTTTTATTTCTGGAATTAAAATATCCCCAGCTGGCAGCATTCTGGACAGACATGAGTGGCTTCCTCAGGTCACACAACATGGCAACCACGTAGTCATGGATAGTGCCAGCTGCATCATAAG